GGACCGTAAAAGAACTCCCTCATGATAAGCATAGTACTAGTAATAAAGTGATTGGAGTAGAAAAAGCCAAAGGTCTCTCTCGATTGGTCACGGCACGCCTCTTAAGGAATCGTTGTTTAATGTGCGTCAAGATTCGAGTCCCAGGTAATTATATTCAGGGAGATAGGACCTCTCATTTCGAGCCGATGGGAAATTAGTCGGGTCTGATCTACCCGATAGTCCGGATACCCCCTCCATCAGGGAAAAAAAAAAAAAAGAAAAAAGAAAAGATAAAGCCAAAGTCTTGTGCCCTTCCTAGCGTACTTTTTTAGCAGAGTGCTGAGAGGGCCCATCAGCTCCAAATCAAAGAAAATTCCCTGATCTTTCCTTGAAGTTTCATTGACGCCTCTGTAACATTTCTCAGAACTTTCAATTTTCCCGCTTTCCATCATGTTTCCTAATTCTCTCTTTTCCCCTTCCCTTTTTATAAGATTCTCCAACTCACAGCTTTTCCCGTTGAGAATGTAGACTTTAACCGAAGCTGATATCCAAAATACTTCTACCAGTTGGAGCTTGGAGTGGCTAGTTTAAATAACTACCACCATCCATTAATTAATTACTAATTCAAGTACTCCTCTGCTGGTATTTGACATTATTATTTCAGATCAGATCTCGAGTCTCCGAGCTTTGCAGATAGAGAAAGAAAAGATTGAGTTGTTTATTTTCTCGGGCATCTGAAGTAACCAAAGGTTCAAAATGCAAGCTCGGATTTTTCAGAAATCAAATAGCATGGCCAGAGAAAAACGCAGTTTGGATCAATCCACAAGTAGTGATGATGGTCAGCCTGAAAGAAAAAGGCCCGCTCTTGCTAGGTAAATTCCCCCAGAGTTTCTTTTCTCTTTGGTCGCTTCTATTTTTTCTTCTGCATTCTAGTTCAATTAGTTATCTTTGGATTAAGTTTGTAGCCTTTTTTTGTTTTTTTTCCTGTCCGGGCTAAAGGAGCTGCTGGTTTTGGTTGGAAAAGGGCTGTTTGACCTTGCCAAGTGTTATGCCATCCAGATATACACCAACTATATGTTCTTCCAAGATATTCTCGAGTTTTCCTATGAATCCGGTCTTCACCATTTTTTAAATTTACGATTAATTTCTCAAAAAGGTCGAGGCTTGTAGGATGAAGGGAATGATTTTTTCGTGCTTGGTAGGCAATAATTCATAAATATTGTGCTCTTTCATTGTGTTGGGTTTTTTTTTGAAGGGGGGGGGGGAGCGGTGTTGTTGGAGTTGGAAGGTTTGTGGATTTGGATTTCGGTATAAGCGACAAATATGGATGGGGTTTTGGTTTCTGCCAGATAGTTTGACAATAATGGACTTGTTTTTCTTCTTTTTCTGTGACCACCTTCCCTCCCACGCCAATAGTCTATTTATCTGCTTTCATGACCTTCATCACTTATTTCACATCTCATTACATCTTTAAGCTTCATGTTGGTCGTCAGTTTGTCATTGATATGATCATTTGCCATCACGGTGGTTCTTTCAAAAGAAATTTATAAGTAACTTCCCATCATATATTTTAGAGTTAGGCCAGACTGCTCCGATACTTCCAAGGTTGACAAACTCTAGTATGCTGCCTGCCATATTCCTTTTTGTACACTTTTGCCTGCTCTTGTAAATTAACTCTCTTTCAAGTATGAATTGACACACTGGGAAAGAAATCCTGCAGCATACTTATCTGTCTTTATCACTGAATAAATGTCAGAGAAGTTGAGAATTTTAACTGCCGAAAGTTTAAGCCTTTATCTCAACCTTGCAAAGCATTCCTGGTTTATAAACTGCTTTATGAGGGAAAACTACAAATGGTTTATGCAGTGTTATTGTTGAAGCTCTAAAGGTGGACAGTCTGCAGAAACTTTGCTCATCGCTAGAGCCCATTCTTCGAAGAGTTGTAAGATAATTATGCCTTTTTTTCCTTGTATACTCCAATTCAGAAACGATTTGATTATTGACATACCAGCTTTATTTCCCATATAAACGGCTGAAGCAAGTCCTAGAAATTAATTTGTTGAATTGATCAGGGTCTCACGTTTTCCACGTGTAGTTTGCTTTGCAAAATTTTTTTTTGCCTGTGTCTAGTAATAGTTTGTCCATCACAAAATTGAAGAATTATGATTGATAGTTCTCAAGAGATGAGAGAAAATAATTAATGAAGACTTATTTTGCATGCATCTGTCTTTGTTTTTGACTTGATGGCCTTTTATCTGACTAAGGACAACCTATAGAACAGTGCCTCTGGATGCTCCACTTAAGAAGTCATTGACACAAAGAGGATGTCTCATAATTTAGTTTTTCCCTATTGACATAATGCAATACTTTCTTTTGCTAAAAAAGTTCTGTATGTGAACTTCTTTCTTTCATCCTAGTTCTATATACCTTCCTCTCTGTATATCAGTATGTAAAACAGTCTATAATTCCTGAAACCATGGAGATCCTAGTTTTCATGCATCATAGAGAATATTGTCTCTGATGAGATATGGTTTGCTTGTGCTTAGAGAATTTCAGATGAATGTCATGCCTTTTTTCCAACTTGATCTTTAACAGCCTACTTTAGTATTCTCTTCAATCCTTCAATGGTTTGGTCTCCAAACAGTTATTGTACTGGGCCTTTTCCAATTTCTTGACTTTTCACTTCTTGCTGTTAATACCGGGAAGTAAGAGGTCATATTTGTCAAATAGGCAATATCTCTGAATAGCATTACTGTTAAGTCATTCCACATGGACCATATCCAGATCCTTTATGTGCTTAAAATTGTGTTTCTTCAGTTAATGTCTTCCATTATGTAAGAAAATGTCTCCTGCCTTTGCTAATTCTTGGAATGAGTGACACAACTAAAGCATGCATAATGAATTTGTGGATTTCTCTTTAGAAGTATATCTGGCATTATCATGTCTAATGTGTCTATGAATATTTCTTCAACTGACCAGGTTAGTGAAGAAGTGGAGCGAGCTTTGGCGAAGTTGGGCCCCGCTAAAATTAATGGAAGGTATGAACTTAAATGTTAATTACTTGAAATAATTGTTTTTCAAGCCATCTCATTTCTTTTGGTGGCATCCTATGGACCCTGCAGACTTCTTTAAAGAGAGCAAAGTTACTTCTGAAATGTACAGGGCTTGAATACCTCTTGGATAGATTTTATGTTTGTTCCCTTATACTGAATTTTGTCTTTGGTTTATTTTTATTTATTTATCTCTTTAAAAAGAAATTTTTTTTTATTTAATCAAATCAAATGCATGCTAATTGAAATGAACATCACTTTCTTGTTATGTTCGTTGTGTTCAATTTAGAAGCCTCACTCAAGAATTTTGTTCTGTAACTTCCTAGTATCATGTTGCTGGATGATCATTTATACTTGAGTTTGTGCTGCTTGAAGGGGAGTGCAACCCTGGTCATATTATATCCTCTGTGGCATTAAACTTTCATAAATTTTCAGGACATCTCCAAAAAGAATAGAAGGGCCTGACGGAAGAAACCTACAGCTGCAGTTCAGAACAAAGTTGTCCCTACCTCTATTTACAGGAGGGAAAGTAGAAGGGGAGCAAGGTGCTGCAATTCACATAGTATTGGTTGATGCTGTTAGTGGCCATGTTGTAACTTCTGGTCCAGAGTCCTCAGCAAAATTGGACATTGTTGTTCTTGAAGGTGATTTCAACAATGAAGATGATGATGGATGGACTCAAGAAGAATTTGATTCCCACGTAGTGAAAGAGCGTGAAGGAAAGAGGCCACTTCTAACTGGGGACTTGCAAGTAACTTTGAAGGATGGTGTAGGGACACTAGGGGACTTGACATTCACAGACAACTCTAGCTGGATTAGGAGCAGAAAATTTAGATTAGGTTTGAAGGTTGCTTTGGGTTGCTGTGAGGCCATTCGTATCCGTGAAGCCAAAACAGATGCATTCACCGTCAAGGATCATAGAGGAGAATGTAAGTTTACATCATTTCAAGCTTTCGTGCTGCTACTTTGTTTATGACTGTCAGCATGTGTACAAGATAAAAATATAGAAGTAAAATATTTTCAGCATGTGTTTCTGTAAGCTGCTGTTTTGTATTGGTATTTGTATTAAATATGTGACCACTTTGGTTTGCAGTGTACAAGAAACATTATCCACCAGCATTGCACGATGAAGTTTGGAGATTAGAGAAGATTGGAAAAGATGGATCATTCCACAAGAGGCTAAATAAAGCTGGACTATACACTGTAGAAGACTTCCTACGACTTGTAGTAAGAGATTCGCAGAAGCTTCGAAATGTAAGAATCACAGAAAACTGTTTTTTTTTTTGGGTTCTTTTTCTCTACTTGAAGTGGTATACTTACATAGCATTCACTTTGATTGTCTCAGATACTGGGAAGTGGAATGTCAAATAAAATGTGGGACGTTCTGGTGGAGCATGCGAAGACTTGTGTTCTGAGTGGGAATCACTATATTTACTATCCAGATGATCTCAGACATGTTGGAGTGGTGTTTAACAATATCTATGAATTGACTGGTTTGATTGCTGGTGACCAATACCATCCAGCTGACACTCTCTCTGACAGTCAGAAGGTTTGTGTTTTTGCAGTCCTTTTGCCTAGCAAGATTCTGTACCATGCATATTCTGGTATTCTCACTGTTCATTACCTGTCGTCAAGGTCAGATGTGTTGTTTAATGCTAATGGCGTTACATGCAACATTATTGGTCTGGACATGTATCTGTGTCTCGCTAATAAATCTTGTAGGCGACCAGTCTTGGTAAATGGTTGAACATCATCACACTTGCATGCCACTGCTGACCCTCTTCTTGTTCAATTCCTGCTGATATACATAGATGTTAGAACTTTTTTGGAAGAATCAGACCATTTTGAACCCCAATTTTTTCAATTTTTGCAGCTTTATGTTGATACCTTGGTGAAGAAGGCGTATGAAAACTGGATGCATGTTATTGAGTATGATGGCAAAGCTCTCCTTAGCTTCGCTGAAAATAAAAGTTCAAGTGCTCCTCAGAGTGATATTGCTACTGGATCACAAAACGATTCAAATTCTTTTGATTATCAAGTCAATCTACCAAGTCTTCCACCCTTGATTCCTTCAGAGCAGCCTTCAATCAGTCCAGTACAGACCATAGGTGGTATATAATGTTGTTTTCTTTATCTTGTTATGATTTTGGTTTCTGTTTGTGGATCACAAAATAAATGTGTTTAAATTTTCAAACATACATAAAATTGGGTAAAGAGTGGACATTTCAATAGAGGATAAGTTCATTTTGAACATGGCATGCTAACAAGCACAAAATGAGATGGGCAATTAAATTACTAACACAAAAGGCAAGCCACTAAGAATCAGGTATCTAGAAATGTGATGTATCAAACTCCTTTATTTTATTTGTGCTTGTTAGATCAGTTACTGTGATGTATTGTTCACCCTCCTTTTGGATATGTTTAGTTTCATTGGAACCATTTTAAATTGTGTTGCTTTAATTTACCTGTCACTGATGCTTGATTGCTGACTCTTTCATTAGGGTACGATGAGAATGGCGGCAGTAGATTTCAAATGCAATCTCAGAGCATGAACCTCAATCCAACTATTCATATCCATGGCTCTTCATTACCTCTGCATAACCAGATGATTACTACATCATCACAAGTTCACTCTCCAACAAATACAAATTTGCTGGCCCTTGGACCACTACAGTCTTCCATGTCAAGCTTCCATGCACCTGGCCCATCCAATCTTTCCAATTACAGGGGATTTGATGATGTTTTCAGTGAGGAAGACATCCGCTTAAGGAGTCATGAGATGCTTGAAAATGAAGACATGCAGAATCTACTTCGCATCTTCAACATGGGAGGTTATGGTCACACTCCTGTAAATGGGACAGAAAATAACTACCAATACCCACTGGGATACATGGCTGGTACATCTTCAGGCTATGCTTTTGATGAGGATCGAACACGTCCATCAGGTAAAGCTGTTGTTGGATGGCTAAAACTCAAAGCAGCCCTGAGATGGGGCATCTTCATCAGGAAGAAAGCTGCTGAGAGAAGAGCACAAATTGTTGAATTGGAAGAGTCATAGGGTCTCCTTTCCAAATGAAACCGGTTGATTTTGGCACTGAGGCTTCTTTATCATGAGTTTAGCAGCTGCCTTACAGTTGAGTCTGGTTAACGGTTCTATAGCAGCTGCACTTCTTCTGGATTTAGGGAAGCCCATCTAAATGTACAGTTGCTGCTTGTAGAGCACCATGGTGCATTGTCCTGAGCTGAAGCTATTCCAAATTTTACTGGCACGTTAACCTCTTTGGAAGGATGCGAGTTTTCTCCTCCTTGGCCTAACAGTGTAGAAGCAGGCAAAGTTTCCCTATTTTTAAATGCTAGTGTTGTGTGTTTTTTTTAAAACATTTTTCAGTCATCTTTTTATCTGACGTATATCACATTAAAAAAGTGTTATAGTATTTTTTTTTCAAAAACTTATTCCAAATAATTTCTTATCCACACACACACGTTATTTTTTGTAACTTTATGAATGGAAGTACTAAACGTGAATATCGCTCGCATATCCAGTGGCTCTCTTTAGAATTGAAATTAAGTTGATTCCAACTTTCTTCATGGCATCACGAATCTCAAGTTCTGCAACAGTAAGAAATCTGACTTTTGTTCCAATTCAGACTTCAAATCATGGAAAAATCATAAATTGTTAAGATTAAGCGCCCATGAAAATAGAGAGAAACCATACTTAAGCCAGCAAAGCAGAGTAATCCAAACGGGAATAATTTTGAGGGCCCTTTTTTCCCCTCTCTGGGGGATGGTTATAGAGAGTTAGTCTTCAAGAAGATTTACAGATGTAACCGAAATTCACAGCCTTGTAGTCTGGGTTGTAATCATGCGCACATCATCATATGAAATCATGCAGAGGCCTAGAAGATAGAATAGATTCTTTGGCCATGGGAGGGGGGAAAAGCAGCAATACTCTTTACCAACTTGGCACAAGATTCGGATACTTCAGCTCTCTACCAGAGGTGACTGGCTAGCTGGATTACTAAGGATAATAGTTCATGAAGAATCATTACCATAAGAAATGTCCTCGCATGGAAAAATTTGGTATCTGTGCATATGGAAATATCGTGTATTCTACTCCAGATAAAGATGCATCATGCAAACTCATGTACAGACAAACGCACATTGTATGACTATTAAACCACCTCACCCTTGCATTCTCCAATGTATTCATGTAAACTGCAGTTCTACGAATGTTGCTCAAGAAATAAAACCACCGCACATCTCCATTAAATGCCTCTTACAGACTTGAAAGATACACTCTGATTCCTGGAAAGAACCCACTGGCAACAAAACAGGAGATTAAAATTCAAATGTACGGATTGAAGAAATTTAAGATGGATGGTAGAATAAAGTTGCTCATTCTGAATTTGACACTTCATCTTCATCTTCCTCCAGAATGTAAACCAGTGCACGCTTTCTTGCAGCAAAGACACAAGCAACACCTCTTGAAGCTGAATAATCAAGATATAAAAATGTCAAATCCAGAGTGTTTCTCAACAGCACAATCTATCCTGCTACTAAATGCAATAGACGAGTTACTTTCACGTAGACAGCTCGTGGCTTTATAATTGTACTATTGTTTATTCACAAATCTAAATAGTGACAATAAGACTCCCTTAATCAGTGAACTTTTTTTTTTGGGTCAAATAATCTAAGAAACAATTAACTATTATATGAGCTAAACGTCAGCATTTTGTTTTGATTGATATCCAAAACGCAAAAGTCTAGTTAAACAATGCACAAGATAATCATTCAGCTCAATATCGAATGTGGTTGACCCATTAATGGAAATTAACACAAGAAACCAATAATGCAAAATAATACTACAGAATGAAACAAAAACAAATTTGGTATCCTTTTTCGTACTGTGTGCTATAATGTTTTATCCAATAGTTAGAAATGATTTGTGACATATATTAAATACAACGTAATACAAAATTTACTGGTATAGCTTGTAAAATTTTGCTAATAATTATGTCAATAATTTTAGACATGCCCTTGAATATTGTTTTTCTTTTCATGCACATGTAAAGCATATAAAATAAACCCAGAGAAAAAGCTGCTGAATAACTGTCTAATTACTGCAAACTCATAAATGCACTTCGTTGTCTATTCTTACAACATTTTATGTATCCCAGTACGATAACATATATACTGCTTCCATGCTTGTATGACATCGCTGATACCCATTCCTGCCCCTCATACCCATTTACCAAACACCCCTAAATATTATTGTTTTCAATGACCAACTAACCATACGTGCCTTCAAAATTTGCACTCCGACGCAGGAGGCAAAGGCAAGGGCAAGCATACGAATGCAGTTAAAAAATAATGAGATCTAAAACCTTGCTTCATTTAAAATTAATTGACCTAGCTGGTCTATTGAAGATGCATTAGGTGATTCTGTGGATCTACAATCACTTCATAACAGGATATAAAGTACACAGAAAAACCAACAACCATACCAGATACAAATGAGAAGACTCACCACTAACTGCCAGTGGAGCAACCACACAGTGAGGAATATCTCGAACCCTTTCATTATCCAACTGTAAGTTCACAATAGAATCCTAGAAGAAAAGCTACAAATCAAACACACTGCATGTGATCAAGAGAAAGGGGACGGTGGTCTTGAGAACACAACCACTTTGAAGTTCTAAATTTACATTTAATTGGTGAAAGATTGGGTTTTAAAATTCTACAGGTGAAAAGGTGGTAGAGACTGATGAATCAATACACTTGTCAAAAGTCCATATTATCAAATTGTTGCTGTATTTTGTGCTGCTCCTAGCAATAGAATGCTACTCAAAAACAGAGAACCCATTTGGAAAGAACTAAATGACTCTAATCAGGCTACGACCATGAAGAGTCTCAACTAATCTATGTCAAATGTTTAACTTATGCACGAAAGATAGCCAGATATGTACCGTAAGTTGATCAAGTCTCCAAGAGCTCAAACTTGTGGATCTTGAAAGAGGCACAAATGGAAGGTCACATGCTTGAATGATCATCAGGTAAGCATTCCCAGAGCTCTCGCAAGTTGTAACTGTTTCATTTAGCAAAAGAACAAGCTGACCTTCCTGTTCAGATTAAATATATCACATAAGAGAAGCTCGATGGAATAGTAGGACTGGCAATATGAAACCATGAATATTTTGAACTTCAGATACTTACTTTATATAGAGAAAGATCTACACAGGTATAGCCATTAGGAACAGAAAAAAGTGCAGCTTCTAATGGGAGTTGACCCATTGCTGAATTGCCAAAATCATGAATAAGCCCCCTTGCTATGCCAATGCAGTTTGAAATATCTGAAAAAGATTCATCAGGTATCTTGAACAACATGTAACCAGTCATCCTCTGCCCGCAAGTATCATGATTAGAGCCAGCATCTGAAGCACCCTAGAAAGTGGAAGAAAAAGAATCAACTCCAGCATGAAACATAGAAAGAAATCAAGAAGAATCAGCAAATGTTCCCTTACATTTACTGGTAGCAATATATATGTCCACACATAGATACAGATTTATACGTTACTTGATCAACATACATGAAACTTTTCTGTCATTGAGATTTTCACATTATTTTGATCAGATTTCCTATCAATCACAAGCACCAATTACACCTATTCTGTCCAAGTGTACTGCATCCTTAACCAATATCTGCTTCCATCATCAGGATTAGAATTTGCAAAATTTTATGTCCTTTTCTATCTCTCTTTAGCCCCCTGAATAAACCAAAGTTCCTCTTTATGTCACATTGATTTAAAAATTTCTATTCAAGCTTCTGAATATGGTGTACATATAACCTCTCAACTTCTCCATATCATAAAGTCAAGCACATTGCCAGGTGAAGTGAATCAAGTTTGTGATTGATTAGCATACTTTATCAAATCATTTGTCCTCAAATAAATTGCTTCAAAGGTTTAATCTTGAATTCAATATATCAAAATAGACCATATGCTCACTCTAACTAACCGTACAAGACAATTGAATAAGTTTCAAGGATCTCACATAAGTGCCAATTCAACCTCTTGGAATTTGTAAAAGTAAAAAGCAGCCACTTTGTATCGGGACAATGTTGAATTTTTTATTCCAAATTAGACAGTATGCTCATTTTAACTAACTTACCTGGTAATATGATACCGACGCAGCAATATTAGAGGAGACCTCCCTTGGAAAAGACTCCAAAGGAAAAAGTGGAAACAAATCCTTACATAGGATCTTTTTGGACATTGTAGCAAAAGGCACATCAAAAGCTTCATTGAAACTGCAATTGTGAAGCCACATAATTAAGTTAATTGCAAATAAAACAAAATTCTTTAGATCCTATGTAAGAAAAGTGCACTTAAATGGGCAACTACATTGCTCTAAATAGATGGAGCACATGACAACATTATGCCTGCGATATGGTATCAACAAATTCTTGTTTAAAAAATTAAGGCATAACCCTGGAATATAAATGGAAATGGTAGTGAATTAGTCGAGCAAAAAAAAAAAAATTCCCTGTGAACTGTGAAGTGGCCA